TCCATATCAGAGTATTGCCTTTCATTCTTCATATGGAAGATGATTATTTAGGACAGTAGCACTTTTAATTTATTGACTTATAAACCTACTAAAACCTTTATTTGCACTGACCTTAAATGATTGAAACATTGCAAAACAGATTTCCATACAGTAAACTGTATTTTCACTTCAGCGCTGAAACTGTTGTTCGTTTTTTTTAAGGGCCCTCGAGTGGCTCAACCACTTTGTTCACGGGTTCGAGGCCGAGTGACGTCAGTGGACTGTTGTAACATGACTCACTGGTGATACCTGGGATCATAGGTCAGAGTAGATACACGAACAACACACACCTGGGTATTCCCATTCAGGAAGGTATAACAAAAATAATAACGAAAAGAATATAGTGACAGTAGCCATGTTTAAACATATCACCGGCTTCATAATCAATTTATGGATTTTGCAACGAAACATGGGATTTGGCTTTGCACCCTGTGGAGTGTCTTTGTACTCCTCCCCCACCACCATTATTCATTCTGGTTTAACTATTTCCTCTGTGGATCTGTGCTCCTAGCAGACCGGAGTCAAAAACCTAGAAAAGCAGACTGTGTTTTGGTTTCATTCTTAATGTTTTTTCTTACCAATAGACTAGTAAGATGAGGTGATTGTGAGTATTTGTTGTCTGTGGACACAGTAGTTCACTTTTGCAAAGTTCAGAGCAGGATCCTTACCTATCCCACACAACAGGAAACAGAAATGTCACTATATATCTATATAGCCTGTCACAACAGTCTTTTCGTAGCCCAGGTGATGAGCCTGTGAGAAGATGGAGGGATGAGGGAAAAGACACGGTTTTCACTTCAATAGGATTGATGATGCCCTGAAAATACTGGTCGTGGATCAGCAGGGAAGGATGAGAAATTCATCCACTTCATCAGCACCTTAGAATGCTCCCAGTTAAAGGGAGAGCTGACAGCATGATTACTTTTTGGAGCAATTTTGTTGTCATAATTTTCCAAAGAAAAAAAATGAATTCTTATGACATTCCTTCAAGAAGAAATCTCTCAAACTCACAAAACTTGAATAATGATAATGTGCCAGAGATCATATTATAATATGGAAAAAAATGACTGTTGGTAATCTGGGTGAAGATTTTGTCCTGCGTGTGTTTATGAGAAGAAAGCAACTTCCCCAGATATTAAAATTCAGCAGATCCCTACCAGTTATTTAATGCAATTTTTTTTCCTGAAAGCACAGGTGGAAATCCAGCTCTATGCAGCCAAGGTGAGGAGAACACATATATCTGCTGCATTCAGACATGACAGCTTCAGAGGCACAGAACCCCATACCGTGTATAAAGGTGATGGCCAATGGCCATCTGTCTCTGATGCATAGTGCTGTCCAACCTTGAAAAATGGTAGTTTTTAGTAAATGTGTCAGATCTGCTGTGCCTGTTCTAATGAACTGATTAACTCAGGAATCTCTGTTGATGTCAGCCCAAGGACCAGGAATGAGAAAATGGACTCGAGTACCAATTCTCTGTTGAGACTAAAGGCAAGTACAAGGCATGAGTACAGTTTCAATAACTTGTAACTTGTTAGCGTGTACTTGAGTACAAGTGCCGTCAAGAGTACAGCGGTTACAGCTAAAGAGTATTTAAGTTTTAGTGGTAAAATGGATACATCTACTACAAAAAACATCAAAAGCCTGTTAGTATACATATTCCACACATGGTTCAGTTACAGTTACAGTGTCTCTGTGAGCACAGCAGATGCTGAGGCAGTGACAGGGGGAGTGGACTCATCCCTTAAGTCAAAGATGTCATGCTGTTTGGCCTTATTGAAGTACGTGAATCTGACGTGGACTGATAAGATGAATCCAAGATCTCGTTCTATGATGTTGCACAGAATGAATATCTGGTTTATATACCTTCTGACCTTGTGGAACCCCTTGCTCTTGCCCCAGCTTGTCACCAATGGCATCACCGATGAAAGATGTTGGTAACCTGTGCTGTCTTTGTGCAGTCATGTGCCAAGATAAACTGCTGATTTGGGCCCCTGGCCGGTGTCCCAAGTTAGATCCCTAGAGGAGGTATAATTTGACATTGGTTCGGTAACTAGGTGCTTTTCTTATGGGATGGAGTTGTTTGCACCCAAAACTGGACAGCCTGGTACATGTAAAACCTACCAGGGGCCTACGCCCATCAGATCCTGCTCCCAGGATTCCTGGGACATGCAAGCCACACCTCTATAGCCAATTCAAAACACATGGGGAAGGAACACATGTTCTACTGGAGTACAGAAACCTAAGCGCTCTAGAACTCCAGTGTTTGAGTGTCTGAGTTTTCCAAGCATGGAAAACTAAGGCAGATGGAGCAAAAGATGGAAGTGAACAAAATGTGGCACAGGAGGTGGGAAAAGGTCCATGCGAGGCAAAAGTCTAACAGCAACAGCATTTTGAAGACGGAATGAACCACCTTGACATTTCTCAAAAAGTAATGAAATAAAGGAAGAAAAGAATTACTTTGGCATTAGCAGGGACTCGGTTGAATAACTCTGACCTCCACAGTTTGTCTGTCCTAACAGTTACCAATGTCCTCCAAGCATGTGAAAGTTATTAATGTAGGGCGATACACCAGGGATGACGATCTAGAAAAACTTCCTATTTTTCACATGCACAGTGATCTGGGCCTCGAAGGGGAAAAGAGGGAAATTAACCTCATTTCTAATAGACTCAATTTTACGATCTGTTCCCTTGACAGCTATTAAAGGCAGACCAGCTTAACAATTCAATTTACTTTCATATAAATGCAGCACATAATACATAATTCCCCTCCTGTTATGTTCAAGGCCTTCAACATTAGGACTAAGTGGAATGAACTGTAATTTACAAGGGCCAGCACATGACATTTTTAGAGGACTTTCCACACATAAATGTGGTTATATGAAATGTTTGAATATGCAATGCAAATTTTTGGATTTTCCTAATCAAATTCAGAAACGAATGTAGAACCATATAATAAAAACTAAAATGTAGATTGTACAGATTTCCAGACATTTTTAAAGTGACGATCCCATTTTGGAGGACCTTGTGTCTTCTGATTTTATTCCAGCCTGAGCAGTAAACAGTTAACATAATTATGGTTAGAAGTAGGGAGCTGCGTCAGCATGCGTAGGATGCAAAGGAACTAGTAAAGGTTTATTCCTTACTGCCTCACAGCGCCAGGGCCCTGGGTTCTATTCTGGTGCTGGGGTGCTGTCAGTGTGGAGTGTGGAAAATTGGCCCTGGTGTGAGTGTGTACATTTGTGACTGTGTGTTCCCTACTATGGACTGGCATCCCATCCAGGATGTATCCTGCCTTTTGCCCATTGCCTGGGGAAAGACTCCAGATTCCCAGCAACCCTGTATTTGATAAAGTGGTAAGAAAATGGATGGATGGATTTTCCAAAATGAGAGACAAATATTGGCTATTTCTTACGGTCCATTACAATTGGTTACACAAATCGTAACCTCCAAAGGTACAATCATTTATAAATCACATCAAAGCCTGGTTTGAAATATTACAATTATGCTGCTAATTAATTAATTAGATCAATGTGAGCGCAACAGAAACACACCGTCTTTTGACACTGGGCCTTTCAGGAACTGGGTTTGAGACTCTAAACCCAACACGATGTGTAACAGATACCCTGGTCAGTATCTATGGCCCTGTGTTATTCGTATGACATCTGTTGTGTTTCAGAAAGTTTTACACTTCTATCTTTATGACAGGCAGGGTGTTTATATATAACATTAATATAGAGAGCTTGCTGGCTTATTTATTTGAGAAAATGCCTGATTTCCTATGTTGTGGAATCCTCAGGCTAAAAACATTCTCCCCTAGTTTGGAGATATATGTTTTAGAATATGGAATTCTAAATGTAGAATTAATTTCCATGTGTTTTTGGGCATCCATGTCAAAGGAAGGGAAATTTAGTCCTGAGTAGTAACCATTTATATTAGGACAAAGGTATTTATTTTCTTTTTGACCTGTTAAGATGTTTCATATTGTATTTAGAGTACAGGGATATAATTCTGGATTTTCTAGATTCTGTAGGATACAGGTCTCCGGAACACATATATTGTAAATAGTTGTATTTAATATTTGGTTGCATGGTTGTGTTACTTTGTTAATAAATATTTTTTTCCTGTCTGTCATGTCATTAGCCTAATTCATTACTCTATCACCAGAGCTGTGCTGGAGAATAAACAGAGCATGTTTGTCTTATGCTTGGGTGATTTTCTGACCTGCTAGTTTATTATCATCCATTATCAAAAAGGATGGTTTTGGATGATCTCTAAACTGCACAGAGCAAATTTCAACAAAAAAGCATTTTACATGAAGATAAATCATAAAGTATATAAATTGTGTCACATAGATCGTACACAAAAAAATCTGATTCTGATTATGATTTTAATCAGATACTGACAACTTCATTAACGTGACACAAAATGTTTGTCACAGAACTCTACTTGATTTTCAGTAGTATTTTAGTGACTTTCACTTGTGCACGATCCTACACCCCCAAGCGAAACACTGTGTTAATGTGCTTAATATCAATGTGCAATGAAGTGACCTCAGTATACTAACCTACCAACACTGATTGTGTGAAAAGGAAGGTATGATTTTCACAAACAATCTAAAAACTCAAGGAATCTACTGTATAGAGTCCATGATGCTATAAAGAATCAAATAACTAAGACATGCTCAGTGCCCAAAAGAACAGTAAGATTGCATGCATCTGGTTTGGTGATAAAATGTATGGTTTAGCGTCTTAAAAGAGAAACAATTCTATAAATGCAGGATTTAAAATATTTTTAACCACTGATAAAAGCACATTAAACATGCAATACTGGAACACAGTCGGTATACCTTTGCTTTAAAAAATAAGAATCTCTTCATAAAGCTACAGTACATTCTTTTTTTTTTCTTGTGCAGGTTAAATAGGTATAGTGCAGATTTAAAGTAAATGCTTTATTCTGCGCACCTTCAAGAACATTTATTTTAATTAATAAGTCAACAAGGAATTAATCAAAGACAGGAAGTCAGCTTTGCTTAGAATCTGGGTAGACTTTCCTGAAATACAGTTCTGAAATCCAAAAAAAGTGTGTGCAATGCAGCTGGCAGTAACTGATAACCACCTGGTGGGAAGTTAAACTTGTGCCAGCCGGGAAGAAATAAGCCAAAATACTGAGTCAGAAACATACAGTAGTTTCCAACAGTACCGGGGTTTCATTAGCAGTTTCGGCAAAAACACCAAAAAGAAAGTCCCATCCAACTAGTGCACCTGTGCTGCTTGCACTATCAGTTAACTCCAAAGTTTTGTATGATCTTCATTTGAAATGCTTTATTCTTTCAAAACACCTTTAATTTGGCAGCCAGATCCCATCCGGTAGATTTCCTAGTTCTAGCTGTGGACTCCAGCACCAGGACCCATGTGGATTTTTAATGATTTGCTGAACTGAGACGAGGAAACAGGAGAGGAGTTTGTACGTGTGCCGTCTAGCTACGAAGAAAAAAAAATGTGTTTTCATTGAGAAAATGCTGTAGTTACCAAGACACAACAAAGACCCTGTTTAGCTTCCTTTATCTGTTATGCAAATGAAGGATTGGGTTGGAGAAATCGGTGAAACAGGTCGAATTACAAAGCCCTTGAAGACGTGTTAGGAAAGCAGTATAAAAGGTAGACAGGTTTACAGGAACAAAGTAATTAGTGTGCTCTAAATATGATTGTCCACACAAATATGACACCTTCAATTTCAAGACAGCTAATTCCCCCGCCCACCCTAAAACCATCAAAACAAAAAATCCAATACATAAATATAATGCACTGGCTGCATTTCCTAAAATAATAAAGTTTTCTGTTTTGAAAACAAAATTATGCTTCAGCCTGTACTGTACCCAAGCGCCGCCACAGACTGTCTGGAGTCATACTGAAACGAAGCATTGCTGACAAGACAACGGTAGTTTGAACTGATGACAATGTGACTCGTATTACACATCAGTTCTGATACATTACTATACATGGACCATATTAGAAGAGCAGAGCTGCTTTTCTAAATTTAAGAAAAGACCAAAACAAAGTCAGATATATTTACCTTTTCTTGTGAAAATGATTCTCATGATTTTGTTTCATCATAAAATGGGACGTCCGGAAATTACTTCCTGTGATAGACTGACATCTAGTGTCTGTCAGAGGAGGTACACCTTATAGTGGCAGACAATAAAATCTTGATTACCAGACGATTACTGAAAATCTGTATTATTCAAAAACACTTAAATTTCATCATATACTTAATGCATTAATGCAAGATTTTATAAGATGTGAAAGATTTATTGCAAGAAACGATCATTGACTCTTCAAGCTTGTTTAATTAAGCTTCATCATGACTGTTTATAGAGTACAATCCTGTTTCAGATTTATATTTATAGTTAGCATTGTTGTTCATAATGAACACAGACCAACATTAATGATAATAAATATATTATTTTCGCTCAGGTGGTCTGTTTGTAATGATCTAGAGAAAAGCTCAATCCAAAAGACTCAATATAGGGTGGTCAACCAGCATCTAGAAGAAGTCCATGTCTTCAGTGGTGTTTTAGATACACTGTAAGATTGCTTCAAGTCTACTTCAGATCAAACACTATTCAAGCCAAAAACCCATCAACATTATCCCTCATCGCATGAGTCTTCAAAGTTTAGGCTTACGTGTTTATAGGACACACAGGATTTACATCTTACAGATAACGTGGGGAAGCAATAAAAAAGGCAAACAATATGTCAGGACAGTTGATAGCACATCATTTAAACCAAAGGAAGTTATGTTAAAATGGCAAAATACAGTACTTAGACCTGATTGAGAGTACTTTGTGCAATTTTAATCACCCTGTTATAAAAGAGTGTTCCTCTGGAATTAGTCCAGACAAGAGCACCCAGACACACTCCAGGGTTAAAGGAATGAGCAATATTCTAATGCAACTGATGCTATCAAGAGGTATTCAAAAACAGTACAATCTTTGGATTCTACTGGAACAATTGCACTAGTAATAAAAAAAAAATGAGTAGAAGCCCTATTTCCCAATGTCACAGTATTGACAATGAAGAAAGAGTTGGCCCAGTGAGCATCTTCAGAATGAAGGAGAACCAGAAGGCACAAGAGGATACTACGAGGAGGTACTTTGAAAGCCTAGAACAGGCAACACTTCGTGATTCATGGGGAGGTGAGGGCATGAACAAGCAACTCGGCCACAAGGCAGAAGCCTGCAAAAACTGCTAGCGCCGTCTTCTTTCAAAAGCCACTGAAGGTGATCCTTGAATGAGCCACTAAGCTATGATAAGATAGGAGATAAGATCACTTTATCGGCCACATACAGTTTCTTGTATTAGGAATTTGTCTTTTAAATTTGTCTTTCGCATTTGTCTTTTCTTAGTAGATCAGAAAATGTGTCTTTTCTGATCTACTAAGAAGCACACTAGATGGCCCAAATGGCTTCTTCTCATTTGCAATCCTTCTTATGTTCTTACAAGTGAAAAAAACAAGCATTAAGGCAACACCCACCCAGCCACTCCGAACAGTTTAACTGCATGTAGATCCCTGTGCAGACACTTGGCAGACACAGAAGGGTATTTTTAACGCAGAAAACAGTCAATGACCATGTTAAAGCAATTTCATATGTAACACAAAACAACCTAATAATTCACAACCAGCATGTCAGGTACGTCAGTAAAACAAGATTGCAAAAATAACTTTCCAGTGCACATACAGACAAAAACACTTCTGTGCTAAGCCTTCTAAATAGTGAATTAAACATTTTCCTTTAGATATTTATGACACAATAACCTCATACCTCTTACCGCAGGTCCATTTTAATTACACAGTAAAACAGCCTTTGGTATTCTAATATTACAGTTCTGCAGTCTTGTTAAAAATTAAAAAAACTGAAACGAATATCAATTTGAAACAATATATAAAAATGTTGCAGCACCAAAACGCTGTTTGAGACTCGGTCACAGTGCCTTAATTTAACAGCAGCATTGCATTAACACAGGGGGAGGCAGAAGAGCAAGCGCTCGATGACCTTTTCGAAGACGTTTTAAACGTGTTAAACAAGGCACAAAAACCCAACACATTCGCCGAGTGTCTTTGTGCAGACCAACATACCGGAGGGGCAGACACGACATTTTCTCTGACAAAGACACACTGACGAGGCTTGTTTGGCGCCGCTCCGGGCGGACACTTCCAGAACCAACACGGCTGTTCGGAAAGCCGGACCGTAGCGACCTGGCCTCTTGTTTCCGCCTCCAGCGGCTCCTCCCCTCTTCCCTCGCAGCAGGTGCCATCCAGGACTCGCCCGGATACCGGGAGATACTAACTGTGCTGGGAAGCTCCCGCTGGGAATCGGAATCTCTCCGCCTGGGCTTCAGCTCGAGGAAGAGAGGTTCTCTACAGGATGGCTCACTAAGCAGAGACAAATTGCAGCTTCTTTCCCCAAGAGCAGAATTTACCGTGTCGGAGGCTTTAACATAGCAAATAACAAGACATGCCTACTGAAATAAAATTCACATTTCTAGAGTCAATTTGTCTGCAACCTGGAAATCAATCAAATCAATCAGAAATACTCCATCTGCTCGGGGCTAGTTCATTTCTTCCTTTCACACAAGTCAGTTTAAGTGACACAAAAATAATACACCATTAATTCATATTTTCATTGTAATAATACATGCTCACTCCTTTAATATCACAGCAAAATGATTAAAAAAACCTAACATTATTTTCTATTCAGTGTCATGGACAATAACACTTTGGAAACTTACATCCTTGCAGAAAATGAACCCCGTAAATTAATTTAAAAAAAAAACAACAACAGATAATATTAGTATCAAAATAAAAATATATCAAATGTATATCAAGATTGTCAGTAATTGTGCCACAAGAACAAAGGATGATTTCTGCACAGATTAATTAGAATAAAATACATAGGTCAGTATAATCATAATACTCCTATAACAAACAGAAGGGACAATTCTCCAAAATGAGAACAGAGGTGTGAAGTCAAGAAAAAGCAGTGACACACTTTTATAAATATGCATCACATGGCAGCTCTTGGCTTGAAAATGAAACAGCTCGTTTAAAAGCCTTCTCTTTTGATGAGATGCGGACAGATTATTTGCAGATCCAAACCTTCTCCAAGCGCAATGAACAGTCTGCAATGTGAACTTTGAGAAACTGCCCACGGACCGTGCTTTCTGCAGCTGGCCTGAGCTTCGTCTGAACGTGGGGGACTTACTGTGAAGTTGACTTTAGACGAGACAGATCTGTGACTTTTGGCTAATGTGAAATTCATTCAATGCAGAACGGAACACCGGTGATACACCAGGTCTTCCCTTCGTGCCATTCTGGAGCATTCTGGGTCTGTGGAAGAAGAGGCGAGGCTCACGCTGGTCCCCTCAGAGGGCAACGGTTCTGAAGAGACCGCGAGGCGAGCCTGTCCCGGCACCGAGGCCCAAACACTCGGAGTCCTCACTTCCACTTCCGCAGCAGGACCAGTGGGGCTTCCCGGGGTGCCCCGCGTGTCCGTGGCCACAGCCTTGGTAACCCCCTGCAGAGATGAGAGCCCACACGCAGCTGCTGAGCCCAGCCGGCCCAGGCACAGCTGCAGCACCGCTGCAACAATCACATTCTCCGGCGATACCGACGCTGAACAACATGAACCCCCTTTCTTCTCAGAGAAAAGGTGCACAAACAGATAAATGCTGCCGATGTGTGAAATACTATGTAAAGTCTTCAATTTGTAATACAGAGGACTAAGGACAGGGTAATTCCACACTGAAAAGCAGACATGATGTTTGAGCCACGGCAGCCACTTCAGTTCCTCTTATTGCCTTTCAGCATGGAATCATCCCCTGCATCCCCAGCCACGAGCACACTGATGCAGCTCCGCACTCCCGCCTCACATGAAACATCACAAGAGCTATCGAACATTTTAAGTCACACAATTCACTCTAACTCTACATGCTGACTGGCAATTTGTACTTATTACAGTATTAAAATATTTTGCCATGAATGGGGCACTTTCAATAATGCAAGCAAAGAAAATTATTAAAGGTTTCACTCACTCGCTCTCCTAAGTTCTCTGTTCAATAGCAAACAAGAGACTTTTTTTTTGTCAGCACATACACTGTAGGACGTTCTGCAATGAAACAAACTAAATTTGAAAAGAAAGTGATCAGTACTCCAGATATAGGCTGGGTAATGAAAACACCTGACGTTAATGACACAGGGCTAAATAGAACAGGTATCATTCTAGACTGCTGTGCAGTTATGGATCAATCAGCAATATAAATGTCTGATTTAAATGATAAGAAATGTCACAGTCACAGCCACACCCACACCTCACTCCCCTCCTTGAGGGAGGTCACACACCCAGATTAGTGCACACTGGGTAGTTTTTTGTTTGGTCAGTAGTAAGAACACAATTAAATCCTTTCACCACTGATAAGGCTCTCTGATACTCAGGGATAATGAGGAACCACCCTCTGATTCTTACCTGTAACAAATGAAAATCTCATTCTTGACTGACTTATTAACTCTCAATCTTTCTGCTATTCAGACAGTCTGATGTTTTTTTAAGAGGTCAAAGTTTGCAGAGATTGCTTTACATTACAGAGCTTTATTTACTGCCAGGCTTGAGAGACTGGAGCAGACATCTAGACCGCACACAGAGAGGGAAGCCCTGCCTGTTGATCCCCTCTCTCGGTAGCAGTAGGAACACGAGGCTCCCCTGGCTGCGGCCTACTGACCTGGCATCGTCCCCCCACAGCCACAGCGGGCCTCCTTGCGCCCCCCGCTGGAGCAGAAGGTGCAGCAGTGGAAGGTGCCGCGGTGTCGGCGAGCCTTGCTCTTCACCAGCAGCACGAAGGGAGAGCCCTGGAAACACAGAACACAGCCTGCTGAGCGCGTGCCCCCGTCCCCCGCGGCAGCTCCTATCACACAGCACACAGTGAAGCCGAGCAAGAGTATTGTGTATAGTGCAGGGGCAACAGACGAGTATTGCAGAAATCGTGCGCATTTTTAGAAAAGTGGCACTCCAAAAATAGCAATAAAAGGAGTGATTAAGTAATATAAGGGAAAGTGTCAAAATTGGAGTACCAACTTAGCACAAGAGCAAACCAGTGCAATAATGTGCTACTACAATGTTTGTTACAGACATCACACGGATTGTCTGAAACAGTAAGTCTGAAGTGAATCTAGATGTGCAGTGCAGGCAGAAGAGGATATTTTACACGCCCTGAACACACATTACCTTGACATGCTGTCCCTTCACACGCACCCAAACACTGTAGGCCCCCGCCTCCACAGGGGTGTAGGACACATGGTACGATCCATCGTTATTGTCCACTACTGCAGCCTTTATGGCACTTAGGTGAAAACAAAGAAATGTGACTTCCCAGTGATCAAAAGCACGCACATACAGAGAATCATAAACATCCAAAATCCATGTGAAGATCTGGGATGTGCAGAATAGAATAAATGACTGGACTCAAGATGCAATATCATGTCCTTTCTCACAGCACAAAGTGCACAGAGGCTCAAGCTCAGAGTGTAAAGCCGGGCTCAAGCTCCCTGGCTTACTTAATCCCCGGGAAAGCCTCTGAAGCCCGGACTGCCAGGAGAATCACGTGAGGCACCAAGGCGCGGTGTGTTCGCTGTCTCCTCTCTCCCGAAACTCACCAGTCCTTCCTCTCGGTGTGGACGATGCTGACCTGCACGTTTTCCCCTCCTTTGCTCACCGGCTCCCCCGCCGCGTCCCTGCAGACCAGGGCGAAGTGTCCGGGCTGCTCCTGCCGGCCGGCCTGCAGCGCTGGGAGAGGAGGAGCAGCCCGTCTCAAGACCGAGAGTCTGCAAGGCAGGGGCCGGCTTCCGGCCTCCCTGACCCACACCTCCCAGCTCCCAGCTCCCGGCACTGAGCTGAACTAATCTGGACTGGAAGGGAAGATGTTGTTTCCCTCAAAGGCCTACCTTATACGCTTTCCTGTGTGAATGTTTTCTTTATTCTTTAAAGTGAGAATTATCCAGACAAGAAAAGCCCTTGATATAACAAAAAATAACAAGAGGCAGTAAAGTTACTGGAAACACTGTTAACCCCACGGACTGTAAAATTATTTGTGTTGCGCACATCTATAAAATGATGCTAAAATGAACTGAGTAATTATAGACCAGTAAATTTGATTTACAGGTCAGGCTATCTAAAACAAGGATAAGTGCTTAAATTAGGGTGATGTACCACAGAGATCTGTTTTTAGGCCCTAATTGAAACCAATGAAAGCAACATTAATAAGCATTGTAGAAGCTGCAAAGTGAATCTTTTTGACCGCAAAATTAATTAAAGACTTGGTAAACATCTGACAGATGATATTTGCAGAGTGTTTCATGTGATAGATGGCATTTGCAGAGATAACTGCAGAGTATTACAAACAGGTAGCAAAAAAACGGATCTTAAAGAAACTACTTGTAGAAAAAGATTTATCCATTTCTGTTCACATACAATTTTCTAGATAATATGTGGACTCAATAAAAAACGCTAACAATATTTGGATATATAGTTCGATGAGCAGAATTTAAATCAGGGGATGATAAGGTAAAATAGCACGTTAGACTAGAAAGAGCTCATTAAGTATACCGCTCACAAATTCGATCAGCACATTACAAAAAAGCTATTGCTGGTCTGAAATCAGTCTAAAGAAGAGTTACCAGTTACAGTCCAAGGCTTAAACAGAAGTCTTATAAAATTAAAATTAAAGAAACTTTAGTCTTGAACACAGAGCACTACAAAGGAACCCAATCCTAGCTTCCAAACTAATCAAAAGTACAGACAACATCAACTCTATCACCTTCATTTAAAAGTGCCTTAACATTGAGCACAAACTTTTTTAAACATTTCAGCAGCTCAATTCCCTCCTAATGAAAAGGACAGAGGGATGAAAGGTGCAGAGGGGATTTGGCGTGACTCACCTAGCTGAGCGAATGCAGTCTAGCTGTGAGGACAGGCTGCCCACACCCCCCTCTCTATAGCGAGGACTGAGCTGGGGAGCTGCTGAGGGTGTAGGTGGGGAGGCAGGGGGGATGTGTGACCAAAGTCACAGGTGTGGGACTTATATATGTAGGAAACCAGTGAAATTAGGATCTGACCTTCATCACAAACCTCTGATACAAACTCTATAGTCTTGTGAGAATCTGGATACAGTGACACAGACAAGTTGCCAAAGTCACATCCTACCAAAATAAGCTTGAGAGTCACATGGCTCCTCTTGTTTGCACATTTTTTATGTTTAATTTTTTACTCTCTATGCAGATTTGTGATTCAATGAGGGTAAAATTGGATGGCTTTCCTTACTGAGACACCCCATGAATCAAAGGGACTTTCTGGAATGTACTGTACATCAGACAGGAACAAAAAAACTCTCATTAAAGGGCCATCAAAGCAAGGAATGTTACCTGCTTATTACCTCACTTTACTTAGAAACACCTACAGCAACTACGACACGACCTACTCGAACTACTCAAGCAGGTACGTACTTGAGCAGGTCAAAAATAAGCAAATGTCTCACTGGTCACTAACCAGTTTTGCTATGTTGTTGTGGTTGGAGGGTCATTTGTGTGAACTCCCCTCATTTTCCAAGGGCCAAACAAGGGATTTCACAAAACAGAAAGAGTTCATTTCAAGGGATTTCACAAAACAGAAAGAGTTCATTTCAAGGGATTTCACAAAACGCCTCCTACCTTCCCCATGAATGACGCACTTCTGAGGATCCACAGCCCTCACGCTGATCACGCCAAACAGCGGGTGGGGCCCGTCCTGCCCGGCGCTCTCCTGGGGGAGGAAGCGGATGTCGTCGGCGGCGGCGACAGGGTGGACGCTGTAGCTCAGCTCCGCCAGCCTCCTCAGGCGCCGCACCGTCACGCCCTTGGCCGCCAGGATCTCCGCCTCGGAGCCGTTGGCCAGCAGGCGCTCGGCGAAGTCCACCGCCGCCCTCACGTCCGCCAGCGCCTGCCCCAGCTGCGCCCCCTGCAGGAGCAGCTGGGAGCTCTTCCGGACGCGGGTGTCCTCCAGCCGCCGGAGCAGCTCCTGGCCGTGCCTCTCCACGGCCCGCACGTGCTCCTCCGTGAAGGCGCGGACCTCCCGGGCCACGTCCTCGGCCCGGGCCC